AGGCCAGGCGCGCGAAAGCGAGCGCGATGAAGGCGGTCCTTTTCGAAAGGGTCCCGGCAGGCCGTGTCCTGGACGTTTCTTCATGTTAAACAGTTGGTTTAGTGGTTGTTCCTTAGGTTTTTTGTGGTTGTTCCTTCTTTTTTTAAATAGGTTTAGTGGTTGTTCCTAGGTTTTTTCATTGGCCAATCCACTCAGAAACTATATTGGGCTTCCGGGTTCCGTGTGTGAACTGGGGGGACAAAGGCAAGTGCTTTTTGACTAGCAGATGGGGAACTTAGAGATGCTGGATACTTAAGTTTCTGAATGGCAAACCGCAACAAGTAGGCGTTTCAAAGCCGGCGTGCCAATTCCTTTGCGCTGGCGCGTCAATGGCATGCCCCCAACCAAGGATGCAGCACACCGTCCCAATTCCCCACATGACCCCGGCCCCAAAGATACCGCAGAGAGGTCCAAACACACAGTGGTTTGAGGAGTACATAATAGATTTTACCAGCGGGATACCAGGGGCAGGGGAATGTGATTGTGTCCTCTTTTTGATATCTATATATATATATATATGTATATATGATATGATATGCGTAGACGAGACGCATTGCAGCTGAGTTGTTGTGTTTTTTTGTCGTCGGCATGTGGGTAGGTACTCGAACTAACACACTTCAGCAAGCCTTCGACGGGGTCCAGCCAGCTTGCTGCTAAGGGGCAGGGCCTCAATTTCAAAGGACCCAGGCCCGAAGGCTGCGGGAGCCCGGAATGGACATGGGCATATAGCGTGTGAAGGCCTCGGATGCGAGTGCGTCTTGGCACTGGCTTGATGGGCTTTCTGGTTTGATATGGGACGTCCGGAAAACAGCAGTTTACTGGGCTTTGGTAGGATTGGTCATGGATCCCTCACAATGATAAGGGTTCCTGTACAGGGAACAACCATGAAGCATGAGGAGTTTTGACACAGAGAAGGCTATGGCTCGAATTGGAACGCCTTTCTCGCCTTTGCTCAGAAACAGTCATTGTCCAAACCAGGAGTCATGATTCATTCAGAGAACCCACATGTGAGACGAAGCCGATTCAACCTATCATGCAACCCGGTTGTCTTGAGCATCCCATTCAGTCGGAAGCAAACAATGTGAATGTGAGATTCGCATGAGTTAGAGGGAAGACAACGCTAAGCAAAGGGCTTCCGCTTGGACTGTCTTGTCTTATCTCCAACCCCGGAAGAAACATTTTTTTAGACTGAGATAGTACTTTGTTTTTCAGGCTGTCGTTTGCCTATTTCATGACGAGCGCAGCTATTCGGGTGTAAGATTTGGCTCACCATAGGTCCTTTCGAAATTCCAGTCTCCAACTCCAAGTTGGCCAAGCCCAAAACCTGCAGAGTCCCTGGGGTCCTTCTGTCCGCTCCAAAACCTGAGTCCCAGTCCCAGCCCCCCCCCCCCCCGTGTCGCACCGCTCGACGGAAGTCGCGCGGAAGTCGACTGCCAGGCCATCCGCCACCGCGAGGTGGGCCTGCGCTTCGACTTCTGCTCCGCGGCGCTGGGCGAGCCCACCACGGACCGGGCGAATGACGCGAACGCGACCGCGACTTCGAAGTTCCGTCGGATCGATGCGGCGGCGTCTTCCGGCATGGACATTGTAGATTTGCCAGCAATTGGTGCCCGTTTCGTTGACCCCTTTGTTGGGTTGGGAGGGTTCGGGACCCTACTCAAATAAGAAAAAAAGGGTGCCAACTTATTCTAACCTCTCTACTGGAGGACCTAGGGTAACTTCTGTTTAAGCTGAAATGGGTATGTCTGATTGTCCCCGGTTGGCACTACTGGACATATCTTCTTATATTTTGTTCAGGGGGCGAAAAGCAAAAGGAAGGTATGAGTTGGACTTGGTATGAGTTTGACTTGCTGGTTCTCAGTAGGGAACGAGAATCGGAATGACACCTATGCTCCGTCCTTTGTGTTTTCCTTGAAGCGAATCCCCAGCTTCATTCCCAAGCGATTGTGGTTTGAAGACTCCATTTGCTGACGTGGATGTGCATTTTCCCTGGTGGTTTCAAAGGGAATCGATCACTGGACATATTTTCTTATTTTTTTTCCGGGGGGCGAAAAATCAACTGGAAGGCATGAGTTCTAATTGGGGACCCTTTGGTGGACCTCAAAATTCGGCGGGGATTTATCTCCGTGGGTTCCGTATTAGCCAAGGTCCCCCAGTAGTGCCCTTTGATCCTTTTTTGGGGGAGGGTCCCCTACTAAAATAGTCTACATACGTAGCCTGCAAAAGAAGCTGGGGACTGGTAGACCTCGCTTGGAGGGGTCGACAGTGCGCCAGGACATCGAGAAGGATGTGTTGCAAGCCGCGCGCTATCCGTGGGACCAGCCGAAGCAGGTTGTGGTCTGAGGGCGTGACCGCGCGTGAGCGTTTTTCGCTTCGCCGACGAGGCTGACGAGTTTTCTGAGGCGAATATGGACCAGGTCCACATCCCGGAGTTTTATGTTGTGCTGTATTCAGGCACCCGAGATCGGTTTCCAGCTGAGCCAGAGCTTGAGCCAGAGTTATCTGTTTCGCTTGCACACGGGGTTGGGCCTGTTTGACAAGGCCGAAACCGCTGGCTCACACCCAAACCAGGTTATTTTGGGTAGGTAAACCAAATAAGAATACATACTTCACCCAGATATGTTCTTGAATCAACCCGGGGTCTGCTCCACAATAATGTTAGACACTCGGATACTCTGGGTAGAAACCAGGCTCTCTGTTCGTGCAAACTTGGACCATCTTAGTTGTTTTTGTGTGCCTCAGACACATCTCAACCGCCTCAGATTTGTGGGTTGATCAATATTCCTGACCCCGAAATGACCATGGGCCAATGAAGAGCTCTTCCCATTTCGTGAATGTGAAATCTTTGTTGGTGGTTTCCCCAATTGTCACCCCATGCAAAGGACCATTTCCAAGGTTGACTGTATAGGTTCATCTATGAACCCATGGCCATGTTGGACCCTTTAGGGGCTGATTTCGCATACCGAAGCCACAACCAGCGCGGAATTCGCCCAGCAACTCAGATTTGGCCAAAACTTGCAGTGGTTGTGGCCCAATCCCGTGCGGGACCCCAAAGTCTCCTGTAGCTGGCTTGCAGCACGGGAGATGTCAAGAAAAAGCGGCCGGCCGACGGCGGGGAGGCACGGTTCGCCTTCAGGAAGCGTCCGTGCGGCTCAAGAAAGAATCTGGGGCTCTGAATCTGAATTACTTTTGGTTGGATGTTGAACTGTGGCGGTGTCAATTGAACCCACCAATCAATGAACATATTTGGGAAATCCATTGGCTGGGAAAAAGATTTCGCCCCTGACAGGTTAGAAACCATAGCCTTTTGGCGTTTCGGTTTCCAGGTCCAGTTTTTGTCATGCGCCGAAAAGATTATGGCTGTACATGGGAGTGTCCTTTTTGAGGCTACCCCTTTTGGTGCTGTTTTAGAAAGAAACCAACACACAACCGTGTTTTTGTGTTTAATTGTCTCTCAATTTTTGGAGGGGCGGTCCCATTGAGAGACAAACCCTTATGCAATCTGGCGCTTGAGCAAGCGAGTGATATCGGGGCTGCGCCCACCACTAGTTGGACTTTCAACCGCAAAGCTGTATTCATGCAATGTCTGTGTGTGGGTGTTTTTTAGGGGACCCCTAAAATGGTGGTGTTCCTTTCAGTTTCAAAAAAAAACAGATGCATGTGAGGACAATCTGCCGAAGAGCTGGATTTTTGTTGGTTGGTGTTCAGCGGGTAGCTTAGCGCAGTCCCTTCCAAATCGGGAAGGGTTTCCACCAGTCAAAGACAGCTTCAGAAAACCAAGGACATGAGCAACAGCTTCTCAGCGACCTTTTGAGATGGGTTTCTTTAAGATCAGCTTACCAGCCTCGCACAGATGCTCAGGAGTCTGACAAGAGCCCTTATCAGGGTTCCCAAGAAGGGGGTTGGTTGAGGCATACGCACCAATTCGTGCTGATAGTGTCGGCACACAGTGGCATACGCTACGTTGGCCCATTTTCTGTACCACCAAAAGCATTGCCTGCATCGTGACAGGGATGGCACTCTCCACTACGGTATGTCCATCCGGTATCACAGAAGGTTCTTGCTGTACCTCCTTCTTCTCCTTGTTTTTTCATGCCTCCTGCTTCCAGGCATCTCAGATCGTGGCCTCAAAAATTCCACGGGCTTGATTACCTTGATTAGGCAAGCCTAGGGGACTATCACCAGGAGCTGTCCATAGCCTTGCAACATCCTTAAGGTTGAGTAAGATCTTAACACAGGCTTGTCCTGGGCTGATCTCGGGTGCACACCCCCAACAGACTCCTCATACGGTCCGTTGTATAAAGAAGGGATCCGGAACTGCCTGTTGTGTTCCAGCAGGACAGCATCGTTCAGCCACGCCCCCCAAAGACCACCTGAGGTGATCAGCATCCGGCCATGGTTGGCTATGTGACGCCATGAATGTTAACAAGGAGCGCCCTCCAAAGTGGTTGGTGGACATAAATCTCCACCGAAATGGTGTCCACCACAGGGTCCCTTGTGAACATTCACACCCATGTGACGTCATGTTCAACATCAGAGGGGGTCTCAAAAAGGTGAATCCCCTTTCAGATGGCAAAGGGGAACCAAAGGGAATGCCATTTCTACGAATCCCATTTTCCCGAAAAACACGTGACAACGAAATGGCCATGGGCTGATGGCTTTCTCTGGCCTCTCTGTTTCTTGTGCACATATCAAGCCCTGTGGCAAAGCGAGGTGATTTTGCCTCCAAACGCACAACGGCCCAGAGCAAGGTATTGCAATAGACAATGATCTTGTGTGTTTGCTAGACATGACTCAAGGGCAAGACGTCCATTTTCTTCTAGCAGTGAATCTGGGGACCGGGACATGCCCACGGAGCCATTCCGACCATCAACCATCACTTTTACTGAGGGCTTTTGTGGGAGGGGTGAGTACAGAGGATATGTCGATATATTGGAATCCCGCATTTGCCCAGATGGAAGGTGTGGAACGGCCTTTTCTCCTCCATCGTGATCGGGCATGCGCTGCGTAAATGGGTGCCGCAGATGAGTTATGAGGCGGGAAGATGGGCGGGAAGAGACCATGTTTTTCTGACGCCTGCAAGTGTTTCCTGTTTTCAATGGGGTTTCCTTCAAACTCAAGGTGCCAAGAGGCGGGCCCTTCAAACTCAGGGTGCCAAAGGGTAGTCTTTCCTTCCCATGGCCACGGGTGTGAATATGTTTCCCGCCGTGCAGCTTGCGCCTTTGCAACATGCTCAAGCTTGTGCCCAACACTGGGGGTCCCTTTCATTGAACTTGCTGGTGCCATAGGGAATGACCGAGGGGTGTTGGGACTGAACCGGTTTGGGATTGCCTAGGAAACCACCTGGCAATTGTTTAGAGGGGCCATTCCCTCATTCTCTAGTGAAACACCAAGTGAACCAAGACAGCAATGAATCAGCTGTCGAGCCAGGTTTCCTTCGTGGCCTGGGCCCCTCGCCCTTTGGTTCTTTGGGTGATTTGTCAAACGGGAAGGCAAATGGAAAGCCAGTGGGAACCTCGTCTTCTGACAAATTGTAGGTGCCTCACAGAAAAGGCGGCAATTCAATCTCACCCATTACCTTTCGTGCCTTCAGTGTTTGGTCTTCCATACTTATGCCCGAGATCCATAGTTGAGGGTTTCATACAGGCCAGAGTCCTTGCGTTGTGCCTTTTCTGATGCTGTTTGGCCAAGTCGAGCTCCTGCTCTGCCATTCATTTCGTGACTTATTGCCCTTCATTGATCTGAGGTGAATTATGCCGCTTGGGCAAGACCTCCTTTGTTGGGTTTGGGGTTTTGTTGTGTTGTGTGTTTTGCTTGGAAACAAACCATTCTGGAGGATCCACTAATAAATCACCCTTTTGGTCGGTCTTGCAGGGGAATCAACCCGGACTGATTTGTTCGGAGTGTTTCTCAAGTGCAAGACCATCTCTAGACGCGACACCCCTGTGAATCTGCAAGGGGGGAAAGCTACTACTGGGTTTCCATGAGTATTGAGACAGCCCCATTTGAGCTGCGAAGACCCCTCATTAATTGGCCACCACAGGCCGCTGAATATAACGGCATACTCCTATTGTGAGTCCAGTTCTTTTGTATCCCAATTGTCAATTCTAAGTATTTAGCCTGGTGGCTTGAAAGGGAATCTATCACTACTGGTAAATATCTTCATTTTTCCCGGGGATTCTGAAGCAAGTACGTTTGACCACAGGACATATCTTCATTTTTTGCCGGGGTGTCCGCAGAAAATACGTTTGGTAGAATCTGTCAAAGTTGTTTTGTGCGAGGCCCACCACCTGCTGTGCGCGCTCTTCGGGGCGATGCACACCTTGCTGGGGGTCTCCGCTTCCAAGCTGGAGGACAGTTTCCGCGCACGTCCCAGTTGCGGTTGTGGTTGCCTAGGTCCCCCCGCTAGGTGCCCTTTGACCCTTTTTGGGGGAGGGTTCCCCTACTAAAATAGACTACAGAAAATAGGGTACCCTTATTCTAACCTCTCTATACTGGAGGACCTAGTTGTGGTAAAACGGGGGCGAGTCACAAGGAGGAAAAACAAAAATGGCTCCATGCACCGGCACACCCCAACCTACTGTCTTTTGAGCAGTACAGGGGATTTTGAACATTGGAAGAAACAGTTGTTGGGTGCTGGACAGTGTTCTCCAAGCTACCCTCTAAACGACGTTTGAAAGATACTTTTTACCTCCGAATGTAATTTTGAGAACGCCTTATCATGTTAGCTTGGGACAGAGAAGAAGACCTGCTTACGCATGAGCGCAAAGACCCAGTGCAATGCTTTTTTTTTAACCTGTTTGAGGCGTGTTTTTGCTAAACTCAGCTGGTACAAAGGGGTACCCTGTTTCCCATAGCCACTGGGGTCTGGGTGCTGGACTGGGGGAATTCCCCTATGTTCAAGTTGGGAATCATCATAACTTTGGAGTTGACCCCAAATCCTTCTATTTATTCTGCCTATGCCCTTCCAAGCAATTTTTATTTTGGGTCTTCCACTTTCGAAAGCACCCCCATGAAAAGTTCCAGTCGCCTGTGGGAGTTTCGGGTTTGGACCAAGGCATTTCAACCCCGGAAAGCCCTTCATTTGTCCATGTCCATGATGAGTCAACAGCTTAGCTTGACCGTGGGTCGTGTGGCTGTTTCAATATCCCTCAGACAAACTAGGTCCCCCAGTAGTGCCCTTTTACTCCTTTTTTGTGGGAGGGTTCCCCCACCAAAATATACAGAAAAAAGGGTACCAACTTATTCTAACCTCTATAGTGGAGGACCTAGAATATGCCTCAGACAAGGACATGTTTCCTCATGCTGTCAGTGAGCCTTAGCCCTCAGACCTTCCTATGAGTCCTCCCAGCAACCTGAAAAGCATCAGCTGTGCGTAGCAAAAGCATCGATCAATCGGATTGTTTCTGCCCAGCTCATGGTCCAACAGCTATGGCTCCTTAGGATCCCTTCTGTTTGGTCAAGCGTTGGTAATATCTTGGATCTGTGATTTGCCTTCCAAATCATGATAAGACACATCTAAATACCTCGGCTTAGGGTTGAAGGTTCACGAAGCTCCCAGGTTTTGGACATGCGCGTTGGTGTTTTCATCTGCCAGAGTAGTGCCATCTCCAGGACTATGCCCAGCGCGAGGGCAGCAAGATGCTCCATTTGACCTGGGCCTGGTCCTTCAAGGAGCGCACGGTCGACGGAGTCGGCCTGGCAAGAAGCCTCGCAGCAAGTCCGTTTTCCCCCGTTCATGGATTTCAACAGGGAACCACCTCAAAAGGTGCTGGTGGATATTAATCCCCTAAATGATGCTCAACAAAGCGTCCCTAATTTCAACTCATGCCCATTTTAATCATAGTCCGGGCAACATCTAAGGACCTCGTCAATTGAGTCAAGAGATTTAGTGTGCGACTGACTTTTTGCCATGAAGTGTATTTTCTTGGCAGCAGCTTCCTTAACTCGGGGTTCATTTTACTTGGCGGTTCGCAGCCATCCGGTTCCTTAGGTTCTTAGGTTTTTAGGGTTTTGTGGGGGTGTCCATTTAACCAGAGAACAGCCCAGTACACTATTGCCAGATTCATGTGAGATTACAAAGCACATAGCCTTGCAGGAATTCCATCCAAGGAACAACTTGATAAATCCCTTCTCAAAAGTCACTTTGAGACCCTGGGATCATCTTCACGAAGGCGGCTCAGCTTGTGGAGTCCAAGAGAAGGGCGGGCGGGTCCGGCGCTGTGGAACCTTTCGGGCGAATTGCGTTTCATATTTGGTGGTTACCCTACTTTCAAAACAAACCCCACGGCCTCTGATGTTTATCCCCCATTTCGGGGCTTGAACAGGGTGGGATCATCAACGAGCTTTCCTTATGTTGTTTGCGAAGCTTTGTGTTTTCAGGTGGTTCGGGGTTGTGTTTATTGCAAAACCACATCTACTAAATCATACTGTTGTCAGGTTTGTTGGTTGCGTTTTATGCCATACTACATCTAGCAGATGCAAAACCCGCCCGCCCGCCCAACTGCTCTCCGTTGGACAATGTTGGGTCCATTTGGCAGTCATTGGGACGTGACTGCATCTATGTACTGTTGTGTTTGGTATTCGACGCCCGCGTGCTTGTATTATAGTTTACAGTCAACTCTGCTTTGTTTCATGTGTTTGTTTGCGTGCTTTTGCCAAACACTTTCACACACACACACACATGCACATGTCAGTTTCCTTGTGGCGCAGCCTAATCTGGACAAAATTAGGATCCAGCCCCCCCACCCCCCAACCTCCCTCCCCATGCCCTGTTTAGTTCTGTTGGAGGGGTTGATTCCTTTTCCGTTTTCAACAAACGTTCCTTTCATACGCACATGTTCAAGGTAGGTCCACCCCATCTGTGGAGGAGTGGGTGGGGGTGCGGGTTGCTTGGGGTTTGGTTGAGGAGGTCTAGTTTTGGTGTCAGCTGAAGGGCGTAGACTCGGATGAAGGTTGATTCGCCGTGACCGCTTCTTCCCTCGGCGCCTGGCCCGGACGGGTCACCCACGGAAATGGGTGGCCGGAAAGGGAACCCATGGAACCCTCAAAACCCGAGCGCGGCTTTGGTTTCCGAACTGCACCCTGGTTTGAAGGGAAACCCTGGGGCTTTGAGGGGAAAGTACGAGTGCGGCGCTGGTTTCCCTTCGCAACCAGTAGGTGCCCCAGTAGTGCCGTCTCTCACCCTTTCTTTCTTTTTGCGGGGAGAATTCCCCAACCAAAATAGACTACAGAAAAAAGATCGGGCACCAACAGTACCAACTTATTCTAACCTCTCTACTGGAGGACCTCAAGCCAGCCCCAGCCTCAAACACCAGCCCCAGACTCAAAAACCTCGAGGACGTGCTCTCGGTGATGCACATGGGCCAGCTCGGCGCTGCGGTGAGCCTCACCGCTCGCGGGAGGGTGGAACGAAGAACAGCGGGGTTCCCCCAAAAGGGAGAGCCTTTTGAAACTGGCTGAAGAGCCATGGTTGCGTCTTGTGTTCTTTTTCTTTTTTCTGGGGGAACCTGTTTGTGTTGGTTTCAAAAGGGAAACCAAAGGGAAAACCACCCAATATTGTTTTGGGGGGAGTTTTCCCCAACAGCTGAAAGGGGTCTCGGCCCAGATAGGCTTCGGGGTGGTCCCAGGCGGCCCTGAGGTAGCGTTCCACGAGGGTTCCACCAGGGTTCCACGAAGGCTCTGCGAGGGCTGCCGAGCACTAAAAAGAGCACCGCATGCTGTTGGGGATATCGCCTGAGCTTATGTTTTATTGGGGGTATCCTATTGCTCTTTGTTCATTTGCTCCAGTTTACATCCAGTAGCTCATTCGCAGGCCTTCAAATGTGCCTTCGAATACGTGGTTGAGATCTCTTGAATATGGTGGAGTATACATGTTTCCAACTTTATACTAACGTTTAAACAAACATGGGGTGCCTAAAAGCAGAAAGGAGGCTCCTCAAATAGCGACCATGTCAGTTTGCAGTGCGTTTGTTTTGTTTTCCCCCGTGGTGTTCGCAAAACACCCCGGTTGATTTCATGTCTTTTGATGTGTTGCTCCTGTTTGGGGCATGTGGGTACCAACCAAACAATGATCTTCTGAGCGATACATGTTCAGATGACATCGCAACATGTCCGTTCACTTGTGAGAGGCGGCTCACGAATCCTCTTAGCTGGCAAGTTTCGCCCCAACTGCCTGCGGTCGTCAAGGCTTTGTTGGGAAGACCGCATCCGCCATTTGAGCCACAAGCACAACCCGGGTAGATGAACGTTAGTAAGGGACACTGTGAGCCATAACTGGGCGCGACCGCCTTTTTTTGACTCTTTACATGGTTTTGGGTAGATCATTTTACCGGGTTTTGATTGTCTAGGTCCCTGTATCCCCCAGTAGTGCCCTTTGACCCTTTTTTGGGGCAGGGTTCCCCTACTAAACTAGACAAAACTGAAAAACAATCGCGTACCAACTTTTTCTAAACTCTCTACTGGAGTATTCTAACCTCTCAAATCTTGAGGACCTAGTTATGACTCATTTGGGTCCAGAGCCTCAGCTTCTCGAGCACCTCCCGCGAGGTGACGGCCATGTCTGCGCTGGGCAACGAGCCGCGGGGGACACAGCTTCGCCATGGGCTTCTTGCTTCGGGTCGCGTCCCATGTCCTTTTGAGGGTCCAAGTAATTTCCTCCTGAGGTGGCTTCTGGGGTGGCATGGACCCTCTGGGTTTGAGTATGTCCTTTGAGTGTGACAACTTCCGAACCCGACATGCCACACACTTGAGCCCCGAAGGTCGGAGACGTACATAACAGCCCCCAAAGGTTAGGGTCACATCGTGGACTTGCTGGGTCCAGGATCGATTCCTTAGAGACATTGCACCCGGCTCTTGCCGGGGCCCCTTGAGACAGTGATTTGCTTTTTGGGGACAGGCAGTCATTGAATGCTGGCTTGGGCTTATAACCGTAGAATGGAGCTTCCACCATACTCCTCACCAAGAACTGGCACCGGACCAGAATCGGACCCTTTGGGGGCAACGGAGGTTCTTTCAGGTTGCCTCAGACTGTCCTCAAGATGTCGTTTTCCAGACCTAGAACTACAGTGTGATTCTCATGTGTGTCTTGCGCGAACTTCTCGTTTTGTTCCATGAGGCTATCAATCTATGCGTTAGTGCTTGCGTTTGTAGCATTTTCCCAAGTGGGCGGACCTTGCGTGGCCATGGTCGTTTACACCTGGTAGTGGTGTTGCAGACTACCAAGCCCCAAGAGTGCATGCTGTTGTTAGGCGACTTGACGCATCACATTACCTTCTTGTCTTGATTATCTCGACTGCTCGGCGCGATGCCTCAAGGGGACGCCTGCGTTTGATTTTGGCGGGCGGATTCTTGCCGGTGCTCAGTAAGGAATGTGGGAATTAACCCAGAGATTGCCTTAAAAGAAGCCACAAGTTGATTGGTTTATACAGGGTCATTCCAATTCTCATTCCCTACCTATCGCACCAGCAAGCATTGGGATTGCCAGGTCCTATGCTGCTTCCTTCGCGTCTGGCATCGCTCTGCGTATCGCTGTTGGCCAGGACTGAAGGCTACATGGCTCCCGCGCAAGCATGGGAGAACCCAAGCGTTATGAAGTTTGTGAGGTCCAGATATGTTTACGCTCATATGTGCAAATGACTTGATCGTTTTTAATTGGTCATTCACAATGGAAATGCTAATTGAGCTATGGCCTCACTGAATTCGACTTAGACTGCAACTGATTTTTATTGAGGAGCTTCACAAGGGGCCTGATAGGGAGCCCTATAAGGAGCCCTAGAAGGAGCTTTGCAAGCAGCTGATGGAGGAGCCTTACTACCTTTGTAAGGACTCTTACAACCAGCTCAGCTTTGCGATTTGTCTCCTCCTCATTTTCAACCACCGCCAAACATGCCACTTTTCCCGTTCTCATGTGTAACAACACAAGAGCATCTCTTATTTCGGCTTACGGATGGACGAAATCCATTTCGCACCGCTTGGAAACCATGGTTGCAACCATTTGTTGGTATTTGCAGAGGAATCCTCAGCAACCAGGGTTTCCTAGGTTGCCTCTGCATTGGAATCATCCTTCCATTGTTTGTTTGTTGGTTTCCTGGGTGGTGCCTAAGAGGATTTCGTCCACAGTCGTCTCGTCGATCCTTTCCCTCCGCCAGGACTTCTTCCAAGGCCTTGGCTTCGTGCGCTCCGGGGCGGACTACTTCCAGGCGGGTGTGGGAAGCCGGCGTTGCGAAGCCAAGCCAGGAAAGGGAAGCCGGCAACCCTTGGACCTTTGGGTTGCTTGGCTTGGAGGCCAAAGGTGAAAACCAACCTCACTGGAGGTGCAACCTGATAGAGAAGGTTATGTCACAAGTGAATGCAACGGGAATGTGGCATTGCAGCCCCATGCACCACTGACTTACCCATAGCGTCTCCATTTGCCACTATATCAGGGAAGCAGGAGAACGGGGCCCTTTTTTGCCAAGCCAAAATTGTATTGGCCGGCCAACTTCAGTGGCAACTGGAATATGGGGCATGGAAGGTCATGAGCCAGAATATTGATGTGGCTCTCAGTTTCAGGGACCCCTTTGCAGAGGAAGGGCCATAGCAAGCCAGTGTGAGAAGTTGTCCCTTCTTTGAAGGGCTTCCCACATATTCTGGAAAGCATCAAGACATGGCCGGTTTGGTTCGTTGGGTGAGAGATGTTTTTGCAAACTATGGGTGAAACGATTGGCGGATAGGTTGTAGATCGATGATAACATTTGGTTGAAGTTTGTTAGGCGATGGTCCCGAGAACAGATAGGCGCGTTTTTTTTCTTCAAGTTTTTGATAAATTAAGGTTCTGAACCAGGCTCGGGCACACATACGCATCTGGAAGGCAGCAATTGTTACAAGTGCTGTTTTGTTCAGCAAAGAGAGCGATATCTGGACAAACAATAACTTGCACGCCGGGGATTACAAGGATATCACTCGTGATTAGGGTCCTGTGACTTTGCAATTCCTCATTTCAGGTTCGTAGATGATAAGAGACCAGAATCACTTGTGTTCAAGAAACGAAACAACAAGGTAATGTATACATGTATATGTAATATTTAATCAAATAACGCCTCATTCAGCAATTGCGATTGGTTCAGCAACTGCTGGTGATTGAGCAGAAACAACTGCGATTCAGAAACAGCAACTGCGATTCAGCAACTGCGCTTTCGCACCTATACTCCTACGCATGGCACGATTTAGCATGTGGGATTCAGCAACTGCGATTGAGCCACCAACATTTCTGCAATTGAGATTCAGCAATTGCAATTCAGCAACTGTGATGTGGCCAAATTACATTTAGCAGTTGCAATGCAGCAACTACCGTATATCGGCAACTACGCTACCGTTACAGCAGCTGCGATTCCTCCATTTTGCACCACTGGGCAGGCACCAGCACGCAACACACACACAAACACAACACAACACATACACACACATACACACACGCGCATGCGTTTGCACTGAAGCACCCCGTACTAGTCACTCCTTCGATGAATAACATTGTGTCTTGCGCCCTAATCTTTCAGCACTAAATCATGTTCAACGACAAGCCAACTTCAACTCAACAGATCCTTAGCCGACCCCAATTGTTCCTTTCTTCGCCAATTACAGCAAAGGGGTGACCCCATTTGGAAGAGGACTCAAGCGGCATGTCCATTAAGGGCGGACCGTGTTCATTATTAGGGGGAAACATTTGAATGATATGAAACTGTTCGTCCAGTTGCTGAATGCTAGTTGTGAAACCCGCTTTTGTTGCAGAATCCCAGTTTCCAAATCCTAGTTTCATATTTTCACCTTTTGGCTGACCAATCTACCATTGTCCTGATTCGTGATTGGCAGCTCGCTTGCAGGTTGCACTGAAGGACCTTGGCATTTCTTTGGATGCCGCTGAGGAGGCTGGACAGTCCAAAGACAAAGCGGCAGCTTGTCGACATAACGTTGTTTGAGTGACCACTTTCCAAATGTAAGCCTGAAGTTTATGAGGTGGCAGCTCACACATTTTCAAGTAATGAGGCTTTGGCCACGCTTTCTTACCTAGTGAATCACCTCAAAGAAACGAGAAGGTAGTGGGGATGGGATTCCCAGGTTTGTATCAGAGAACGGATAGCTTTGACCCATCGTTCCGCTTGAGGACCAAACCTCGGTGAGGTGTCTCTTTCTGGCGTCAGTTTAGCCTCAAGACCCGCAGTGCTCAGTCCAAAGATGACCCTTTTATCCCAGTGCTTCCCTGCTTGGTCCACTTGCAGTCAACGTGCAAACAGACTTCCAGGTGTTTTGGGCTACACCGAACGAACGTCGGAAGGATTCGAGAGATGCCACAGGCTGAACTGCCAAATTGAAATTAACATCAACAATCTCCTCCGAATGCACCCAACATGTGCTGATTCTTTTCGATCTCTTCCTGAGGCTTGCAGTTGCCACTTGAAGAGCTAGCAGGGTAACAATTGGTTGTGGTGTCCCGCCAACTTCTGAAGCGGGAACACGAAGCACTGGGTTTGTGTAAACATGTTCAATCCAGCAATGGCCAAACTACGGTTGAAGCCGCCTTGGAAGAACCAAGGGGTGACCTCCCACAAAAATGGGTTGGTGCACAGGCACCTTCCCGTTCCAAAAACAAATGTATTCTTGCATTCTCTATTCTTGTCATATACGCCCAATACACAACCTAATGTTATATATATATATATCAGAACGAAAACAACAAAACAAGTTGTTTTCCAATCTTTTGCAGTGCAGGCCATGTTTGGCTGCAGGTGGTTGCCTACAGTGGAGGTGGCATCGGAGACTGTGGAGGCACAGGGCGATTTGCAGTGCTATTTCTTTTGGGGGACCCCCACCACCACCAAAAGGAACAAGTCGTGGGTGTGTCGTTTTTTGTGGATCTCTAAAATGGGTGGGTTTCCTTGGTTTACGGGTGTGTCTTACTTTTTGGGGGACCCCCAAAATAGTGGTTTTATTTTTAGTATTCTTGTAAAACCAGCCAACAGGGGAACCCTCAAGAAAGACACACCCTGTAAATTTGGGAGGGACTCTTTGATGTGCCAAACTTCCCCACAAAATACAAGCCAACTGCGTATTTTGACTGTCACGCGGTCATGTATTGAATTGTAGACACTCTCCGAAAAGATATGTCGCCGTGGACGTTTGCGTGTCGTCAGTCGCAGGACCCCGTGAGGACACTTGACTTCGATTTGCTGCCTTGCCTCCGTTTGATATCGTAGCACTGGAGGCCTTCGACGGGCAGTTTTGTTTGAACTCAACGATAGTGTCTGTGTGCGTGTGGGGTGTGATTTTTGATGTGTACTACATGGCACGCTTCCCAAACGTCTGAAAACCAAAGCACCAAGAGTCGAACATTTTTCCCTGAAAGCCCCCGAAAGACATGCAGACCTCGGGACTCCAAACGTCTGTGAGTTGGTGATTTGTTCTTCCTTGCGTTTTGTTGTATCAGCGGATTCATGGAATTCGCCATGTGTTCACGAACCCGTGAGTTGAAAACCCAGGAAGTCCGTGGACACCCATAAGCCTCTACGGGGAATTGCAACTAGTTTTTGTTGGTGGAGTGGAGGGGTAGGAGGTTTTTGGAGGTAGGCGTGTTCAGGACGATGAAGACGGTCGTGCGGAAGCAGGGCAGAAGCAGTTTGAGGAAGCAGCGTTGGGAGCAATAGAAGAGATGACCATTGTGGAGGCGCAAGCGAGACTGCCGCAGCAAGCAGTTGCGTCGCTGGGAGCAATCGAACAGAAGGATGGCACCTTCAGAGTGATCCATGACGGGACGCACGGGCTGGATGTCAAACAGATTGTCTTGCGTGACCAGTTGAGAAACCCCACACCAGGCGATCTGCGAGTGGTGTTGCAGATGTTGCCAGTCGGGTTCCTTGCTCTGACAGATGTCAAGCGGGCCCATCGGCTCGTAAAGATGGGGTTGGCTTGCAGGACTGGCGCATGCAGGAATCTGCATTTACGTTTGCCCCCCATTCCAGCCTGTATCCCCGGAAGGTTACCGCGCCTACTCGTTCGGTGTCCTCCTTAGCTTGCGCACCCCAAGGCTCATGTCGCTACGATGCAGACTTCTTGCTGACCCTGCGAACCAATGCCCTCAGCACTGAAAGCAATCTTAATTTGAGGACCAAACAATGATCGCTTTCTTGTCTCACTGTTTTTTCTTCACCAAGCGAAAATCATTGAGACCGCTTTTGCTTCTTGGCACAAATACGGATGCCTCTCCCCCAAGGATTCTGACAATGCCCAGGCGGACCTTTCCGAATGCTCATCGGCGATGAAACGCAAGGCACTCAGAGCACCTTTTCATTTGGCTTGTTCCAGTGTTCAGGACAGGGGCTCTTTAAGTCTTGGGCTCAAATCGAGTTTGTTTTTCCCATTGGCCCATTTTGCCCATCCGACTTGTTGCCTGACGCCTAGTTTCGGGCTCAAAGCGAGTTTGTTGTTTTTCCCATATTGGCCCATTTTGCCCATTCGACTAGTTGAATTCCGGACGAATTTTGCAGGAAAGCCGCTACTTTTTGCTTGTCTACTTCGCCATTGGCTCGGGTTCTGCCCCAGCATACGAGCCTTTCCAATGGACAATTGAGTGAGAGGGTGAGTTGGTGGTTGCCGGGGCAAGTCAAGGTTGGCAAGACTGAGGAGATGAGTGCCAATAGGCGAGGGCATAGACTTGGCGTTTTGGATAACCCATTAGCTCAGCGTGCTTTGCTCGGATTGACCGGGTCGGATCCAATGATTTCTCCAATTACCCATTCCGCAAGGCTTGGGGAATTGGTTCAATCGGAAACCAAGGAACAAATCCACTATCAATACATTTCAATACCTATCGATAAGTGTTGGCAGTGAAAGTCCTGATCTTTATATCCAGCAGGTTCTCCTGTAGGATATATCTGAATGACCACTTCTCAGATAGCAACTACATAAACCTGAATAAATCTCTAAGCGCAGAAACAAAACAGCACATGCGCCCCACCAAGAGATGCTCTATTTGAAATTTGGCGTGTGTATGTGATTGCTTTCTCTTTCCAATTCATCAGTCCACAACAGGGCGGTTGAGACAGACACACTTCTTTGGGATTTTCTGCCGCTGCAAACAGAGGTTACCTCTTGGTAGTTACTGATATTTGAGGATACAGGCGTTTCTTTTTTTCCGGATAGCTTTTCTAGCATGGCTTTAAATGGAACAGAAAGGACATCACCAATTTAGAGCGCTTGCTTTGAGACACACCCATGTATCATCTAGCGAAACAGCAGGACATGCTACAACATTTGGAAGTTTCAGAGGGAGTTTTCCCTTTCCCGAAGCCGTAAGGCTGGCGTCCATTGCCGCTACCACGCTGAAGGCCTTCTGGGTTGCCGGTCACTCGCGTTTTTCTGCTCGATCCGCGAGCGGCTTACACGCGAGTTTTGAGACTGGGTCCTCCAGTAGAGAGGTTAGAATAAGGGTATTCTTTTTTCTGTAGTCTATTTTAGTAATCAGGGGAGCCCTCCCCCCAAAAAGGGTAAAAGGGCGCTACTGGGGGACCCAGGTCTGAGAGGGATCTATTTGTTTTGAGAGTGTTTTCCTTCCAATCAACCGTCGCTTGAGCTTAGCCCATTGGGCATTTTGTTTTGGGCATGGAGTCGGTATCCATGTTGCCGTTTCTTGTGAAGGTAAACCAAAGGGGTTGTGTCACAAAAGGACATGTCCGCCCCCCATGAATAAACGACGTTGATGAATTGGGCATGCCTTACAAGGATCATAGAGTACCGTCTGGTTTACTTGTAACGTTTGCAATTGTTTTCTCTACCTGTTGTGATTGGTTCTTTATTGTGAACGTTTCACGATGTTTCCTGTTTTGCTCGTTCAAAGTGAAAACGTGTCGAGTGTGCAAGATACAGCTGCATTCTAGCTTTTTCCGAGTCATTGATGTTTTGTATTTGCCAGACATGTAGTACACCAGAGTCACCAACTGCTCTGGAGTTGGTGTCTTGCATAATCCTCGAAACAACACAATATGTGTGTCATGTGTATCGCTCCTGACAAAAAAAATGGTTCCCCAACCGTCTTATATCCTGCAAGCTACACATTAGATGACATGTTGTCTCATCCAAAGTCGAAACAAGCTTAACAACCAACATCATACATATCACATTCGATGTCCTGAATATTATAAATTGTTTGCCCCTAGATCAAAGCAAGAAGCAAATACGGGTTCCCACAACAAGTGCGAGCACATTTAACCCTGATACATACAAAGGCAACATTTGAAGCAGCCGAAAACACCCCAATTTCAGATCCTGGACACGATCAGATCCTGATCGTCGCGCAGGATAACTTGTTTCCCCAAGGATTGACCGTCCTGAACTCGCTCTATAATCTATAATGTGCACAAGCAATATAATAGCAATATAATATATGTATATCTTTTGAGGGGGCAAAAGCTGAGGTAGTTAGGGTTCGTTTTTTGGGGGATCCCCTCTTTTGGTTGGTTTTAGAGGGAAACCAAAGCAAAACCACCCATTTTTGAGTGTCCAATAAAATAGGACACAGGGATCCAATAAATAAGACACACCTATGAGCCAAGGAAAACCACCCATTTTGGAGATCCCAGAAAATAGGACACACCCACTACAGTCATTTTCCTTTTGATGGTGTTCGGCAGGCCTGGCTGCTGCTGCTGCCAGCCCTCTCCACAGCTCAGTGGTTTCAGCGCACCATCCAAGCGCAACGCATGCTGGGGTCCGCCCACCCCCCCTCGCGGACGGGTGGCTATGAAGGTTAAAACTGAAACATATTGAAAAACACGCCAAAAGACATGCGCATAGATCGCAGTGGTTTGGGACAGATGGCTGTGAATGTTAAAATTGAAACACGCACCAAAAGACATTGATACCTACCAAAGGTCCTCGAAATGAGGTTCACACCCATATTGCTCCTGTGCCTGAATTTATTCAGGTTTGGTGTTTTGGGGATTTGCATTCTGCCCCCCTTTCAACAATCACTGAAGTAGATTTGTTCTTTTCACGATGGCTGTTCCAAATTCTTCCTGTCAGCTTGCATGCTTTGTGGGAAGGGGGTATTAATCAGCTTTGTTGACCTAACATTGGTGCGTGATGGTTTGTCAAATACTTTTGGAGACCCTTTCGCAGACTCGCTTTTGGAACCCTGTGGATGTTCCACCATAGACGCTGCACCTTGCGTGAGCTTCCCTCAAAAAAGAAGCCCTCGGTTTCGGCTGGGTGTGGGCTCTAAGCTTTGGGCAGGTTTGACACCTTGATACGGCGGAACGCCGATTGTTACTCCGCCGGCGCACCGGGTGCCGGTGAACCTGCTGCTCCGGAGAACGCCTTGTCCTTGATCTCGACGAACTTGTCCGACATCTGGGAAAGTTTTGCATCCCATTCCGGGTTCGGCGTCTGACCGGCCGTCACCTTGAAGAAGACCTGCATCATCAGCGTGATTGCGAGCGGTTCCAGAACGGCTGCCTTGACCGCCCATGCGAAGATGATGGCGAACACGAGGCCGCCAGCGCTCCAGGATCCCGGCAGCAGGTAAACAAGTCCGGCTGCGGGCGCCAGCATGAAGAGAAACACCAGTATGGCAATGATATAGGTGAAAAGCGCGATGAATGCGGCGTTCTTCAGCATCAGCTGGTAGTTTTGTCCGTAAAGGACAAGTGCCTCGCGCGCAGATGCCCAGGCGTTGTCTGATCGGGTCCGGATTGCGTGGGCCAGAATGACCTCGTCGACAAAGCCGACGGCAACTTTCATGAATGCCCGGAACAGGGAAACAAGACCGTTCAGTCCGGGTATCGGCAGGACGGAGGCAATGCTTTCGACAAATCCGCTGATCGCCCGGATCACACCTTTCACAAGCTGGTCGAGACCGAAGAGGGCGCTCGACTGAACGAAACGTTCCTTGACCACCTTCGCTCCATACGCCACCTGACCTTGCCCGTCCGGCAGGTCCTTGTCGTCCATGAGTTCGACCAGGACCGCAATGTGCCCGGCCTTGACCGTATAAAGAAGATATTCGCGCAGCAGATAGATCGCTGTTGCCGTCAGCCCGAAACCGATCAAGCCACCCCAGAAGGCAAACCCGGCCTGACTGTCCGGCCCACCGAACCAGCCTAGCCCATAGCCGATACCGGCACCGAAACCCGTCACGACCACGTATGCAACGGCAATTCCGCCATAAACGACAATTCTGAAAACAAGATAGGGAAAAGTTCGCACCATCAGACCGACGGCACGGGGAAAATCAAAATCCCACATAAAAAACTCCTGTCATTCGCAGGTTATCCAGACAATGACCCTAGGTTAGACAATGTCCGGCCTCTGCGACAAGAGAGGACGTCACAGTTCGTCCCAATCCATTGTGCGGCCCCTCACCTGAATGCTCAGGAGCTTTCGCGGCTGTCCTGGGAAGTGTGGTCATGGGGATGGAAAATTCCATGATACCAGAAGCTGTTCCACAGGTGTCTGTGCTGAGAAGTATCGGCCTCTTTTTCGGCTGGTGATCCGGAAGCTGCGTCCGGCTTGTCTGCCTCTGCCGCATCGACCCGGTCAAGATGCTCCCCAAACAGCAGAACGTTGCCGTCGGGATCAACCGTTTCAAATTCCCGCATGTTCCACGGCTGGTTCGCGATGTCTTCGGTAATATTGGCGCCTGCCGCCTTTACCAGCGCATAAAATCCGTCGACGCCATCGACAAAACAGTAGGCCGTCGTGCCGCCTGGCTTGTCGCTTCGTGTCAGGTGCACGCCAGACTTGCCACGCTCCAGCACGGCATATCGCACCGGCTGGCCTTCCTGATCAGCCCATTCGAAAACGACATCGAACAGCAAATTGTCGCGGTAATAGGCAAGAGAAGCCGTAAGATCGCTGACCCGAAGCACAGGGGCGAGGTGGGAAATCTCTGGTGATCCGGTTTCAGTCATGGTTCCAAACCCGCAAGTTGCGAAGCCTTGGGAATTCCCGGCGCTAGAAGCACTCGAGCATGGCTCCGGTGTTCTCGTATCTGCCTGTTGCCAGATCTTGCGGTGAAATGCGGAAATAGACAATACCCGCGTCGCCCCAGACCCAGTTCATTGCATTGTCACCGGCAAGGTGCAAAAGCAACAGGCTGTCTGTTGGTCCAGCACTCGGATTGGACTGCAATGCATCGAACTCGCCACCGACACGATGGGGGCGGCTGTCGAAGAGCTTACGCCAGTAGGGCTCAAACGCCTTCAACACGCTCGTTGGAATACTGTCACGAAGTTCCGGATCAACGTAGTAGTCGGCAACGAATTCCCAGAGTTGAACGTAATTCTTGTTGTAAAAGTCCCAAAGTGAGATCTCCCTTTCGAAGGCGAAAAACTCACCGTTGCTGTTTCGCTGAAACCTGAAATAGCTCGTTCGGGTTTGCTTCAGGTATTTTTGAATTTCCGGCCATTCGTCTTTGGCGAGCACCCGATTGCGATCAGATGAACTGACCTGATCGATAATGTTCTCAAGATCCCGGACCGCCTCCATTCGCCAGGCGTGATTGGCGCGAGCCACGGCGTCCCGATAGTCTTTTAACGAGTCAGCCGAAGGATAACGGTCCAATACAGCGGCCAGCCGGATCTGGCATCCCAGTTCCACTTCCAGCTTCCGGATATGCTCCCTTTTTGTCTCTGTTTTCTCGTCGCCTGGATCACCGTCATCCTGCGGGGAATTCCGAAGCTCTTCCAGCGTGTGTTTTAACGCCGGAATATCCTTTTTGAGCGACGCAAACGCGTCCGGGTTCATCAGGCCTTCAATGACCTCGTCGTTCCACTCCGGCTTCAACGGGTGTTTTCCAAGCCGGGTCCTGATGGAGGTCAGGATCGCAAGCGCCATCTGTTCGGTGAAGGGGTCGGGTACGGGTGGACGCTCCGCATCCGACACCTCCTGACCGGCATAAAGCGTTGCGGCGAAATGATCGGGCGTCACGCGTTGAACTCCGTTTTCGTCCTCCAGGAGACGGTTCGGAACAGTTACGAAATCGACGGGCCAGCGGCGCCAGCTTCTCGGAATCTCGTCGATTCCTTCCAGATACCCGTAATTCGGACCGGAAAAGGTCCCGTCATGCACCGGGCCAAGGTCTTGGGGCAGTTCCCGCTCCACTCCCAGCGACTGTGTATGGATGACCCTGTAACCTTCGCCGTCGCCCTCCGGCCCACTGCTGTTCGGATCGACGAAAAACAATAGCCAGCCATCACGTGGACCAAGGCCACCCCAAAGATCTTCAGGGAAATCCGAACAGCGCAGCTGCGCCAGAAAATGCAGTGGAATTTCGCCTCGCTGCGGATGATCGCGCGACAGGGATCTCGGCCAGGGCACATTGTCCGGCATCATCGGCAACCCGCCAAACCAGGACCGCGGCGCCTCGTCTGCACGGATCGGCACCTGACGGCGCAATACGACCGAGACTGTTTCGAGAATTTTGGTCGGCACCGCAGTATCATGGCCGACATCGTGTGCAGACTGCCCAACCCGGTCGTAAACACCCTCGCGATTGGCTCCTTCCTCAACCACAGTGTTTCTTCGTTCCGCAGGTTGATGAACCACCCGTTTCATACGGCCTCCTGCCCGGTAACCGGAGGCATCCAGCACATTCTGGATACGATCAGCCCCGATGGCGACCGCCTCAAACTGCTTCTTGTGATTGTTCTTTTGAAGAAGATTATAGAGAGTTGAAAAAATAAGCCATAAAATAGTAACAAAAATAATCGATATTAGTACCAATCCTGAAATAAATATAATTCCGGCTTCATCTTGAAGATATTCAGGCATTCCAAAGTCCAATGCGAAGCGAGATCCTGATCGATCTATGCTTACATTCATTAAACCTTGGTAAATTGCATCAGCAGCATTTTAAGATCTCGGCTTTCCATGCCGGAAAAACCAAAAACGGGCCCCGCAGGGCCCGCTCAAGTCACTCTTTCCGGCTGGTTCTGGTCAGCTCGCTACCAGGTTCCGCAGCACATATTGCAGGATACCCCCGGCCTTGATGTATTCCAGTTCGTCCTCGGTATCGACGCGGCACAGGCATTCGATCGTCTTGGTCGTGCCGTCCTCATAGGTAACCTCGACATCCATCATCTGGCGCGGTTTGATGTCGGCGATGCCCTTGATGGTGACGCGCTCGGTGCCCTTGATGCCGTGAGATTGCCAGCTCTCGCCTTCCTTGAAGGTGAGGGGGATGACACCCATGCCAACAAGGTTGGACCGATGGATACGCTCGAAAGACTGGGTGATCACTGCCCGGACGCCGAGAAGTTTTGTGCCCTTCGCTGCCCAGTCACGAGAGGAACCTGTTCCATATTCCTTGCCGGCGAAGATCACCAGCGGGGTGCCGGCGTCCTTGTAATCCATGCAGGCGTCGTAGATCCATTCCTTCTTGCCGTCCTTCATGGTGACGCCGCCTTCGACACCCGGAACCATCTGGTTCTTGATGCGAATGTTTGCGAAAGTGCCGCGCATCATGACCTGGTGGTTGCCGCGGCGCGAGCCATAGGAATTGAAGTCCTTGCGCGCGACCTGGTGCTCGGAAAGATACTGGCCCGCCGGGCTGTCTGCCTTGATGGCACCGGCCGGAGAGATATGGTCGGTGGTGATGGAATCCAGGAACAGTCCCATGACCGCCGCATTCTCGATGTCTTCGAGCGGTTTCGGTTCCATGGTCATGCCTTCGAAATAAGGCGGGTTCTGAACGTAGGTCGAAGAGACCGGCCAGGTATAGGTCAGTCCACCCTCTACCTTGATGTTCTGCCAG